CGATGAGAGTTAGGGGGGAATCCGTTCATTCATGACCAGATGTTCAGTGTAGTAACGCTCCGCAGTTAACTTGAACCTTGTGGCCTGTTTCCCCGTCGGTTGCAAGGACATTGGCAGCCGCCCGGTGCCGGAGGACCACGGGGCCCGAGGAGGTGTGAGATCCGCCTGCCCGCCCGGGGCTGCCCAATTTTTCCACCGGAGAAGGTAGGGAGTGATGGAGGAGGGAGCATCAATCATGGCAGGGACCCGGGCGAGAAGCATCTTTACTTCGCCAGCTCTGTTATCAGAGGAGAGCTGACAAATTCTTATCTTTCCTCCTTGCAAAGGGAAGATTAGCTTTTTTTTCTTTCCCCGCGCGGGGGGCTGATGCTTAATCTTGTGTCTTGTAACTTTTTTTTTTTCCCCCCCCCCCCCCCGCCCCGTTTTGCAGTGGGAGAGGTAGATCATTTTTAACTGTCCCAGATTACAGCTCAAGGAAGGTGTGAAGTTGAACAAAGGTTTCTCTTCACTTGTACTGAACATTACTGACACGTTATTTCTGTAGCAGACTTTGAGTCTTTGTTTTTAACCAGCTGCTGTAAATGTACAGAAGTAAACAACAGCACCTATAAACAGTTCAATACAGAAGACTTGATTTAGTACCTTACAAGACAAAGCAATCAATAATCTATTACACATCTAATCACGGCCATGAACAGCCCAGCAGCCTCTGAGCAGCGTTCCACCAAACGAGAAGGGCAGTAGGAGACCACAGCGAGAGGGACACAAATCACCCAGATTGCAAATGCATCTCTCAGAGTAGGGCTATAAATGCAAATATTCAAATTCAGCAATCACCTCTCGCTACTAGTGAATCACGCCATTGCTATCTGGAGACTAGTTGCTATGGCAGAAAGCTGTAGCAGTGGCAGAAGGCCAAGAATCCCGCCCGCGAAATGTTAACTGAATTTAACTCTTGACTTTTCTCAGACAAGGTTCATTACTCCGTGTGACTGTGTCATATTAAATGAGTGCTTTTTCTGCCCCGGGTACCGGTTTGGAAGGGACCTTATTAATCACCGGGACAGCGAAGCAGGTCAATAACAACCATTTGTCAATAAGGATTTATTTTTTGTACCTTCAAGTCCAATAGTGTGATAGCTGCAGTCATCTAGGGGCCCTTTGGCTTTCATTTCTTTTCTTTCTTCTTTTCTTTTGTTTCTGCTAACTCATCTCTTTGCTTTAGGCGAGTTATGCCCAGTTCACAGCCCCTGGACACGCTCAGAGCTCACCCACAGTGCAGGCTTGATGTCCCAGTGAGGAGATGCCCTGCTTTGAGCAGTTCCAGGCTGGGCACACACATGCTGCTGCTCCACTTAAGTGACCATGTAGGCTGCTGTCTGTAATAGCCACCAGGAACACCAGGAGCTTAGAGACTACAGCAAGGAACGGGTACAAACATCAGAATTACCTACACACAATTTAGGCACGAGCTCTTCTTTCAGCTGCTGAAAGATCTGGCTCCCTGCTTGAAGGGTAGCTGCAGGTGTGTGCCACAATTCTGCTGGAAGAGCCCGGTCCTGTTCAGATGCACAAAGGAGATCTCCCACCTTTAGCTATTGAGCCAGATTTGTCCATGTAGGATTACTGAGATGCAAGGAAACACCTACATTAAACACAACGGAATATTCAGGCAGTGGTGCTTCTGACATCTTTCCTTTAACACTATGAGGAGCTATTAAGAAGGACGTGCACGTTGAAAGTTAAACGAAAACGGCAGAATAAAGCAGATGGCATTATTGTTGAAGACAACTGTCAAAGAGAACAGCACACAGAGAACTCCAAACCCTAGTTATAAAGATGCAGATTCACAAATTGTGACAATGATTTTTCTCCCACAAACACAATGAAGGCATTACTGTTGCAGTGGGAAAAGTCTTGAATATACATGTACCAAATTACACGGGGGCTGAGATGGTGACAGTGAAGCTGGGAGGGCTGCTGTACGGGATTCCTGCTCCAGCCTCCACCTCTGGAGGTTTGCCCAGTCCTAAGAGCAGGCTAATAACCACACGCCTTCTCTAAATTGTTCCGTAGCCTGTAGAACATTTCATGTTCCACCTTCGGAAGTCTCGTTCCAACTTTCAACACTTGTTTTCCTCTATTGTACAATTCCATCTTCCAGGAAGGATTTCGCAAGGTCAGAGCGCTCTCGCACTCTTCGTGCTTCCCTTCTCAACAGGCTTTTGACTGTACGCTCAGACCTGAAGGAGTTATTCCACAGAAGGGAAACACAAAAGCCCTATAACTACGCAACATGCAGCACCCTGCTAGAGAGCACTTCACAAATGACTTTGCAATATCACCCATGTTCTTTGTCAGCTGTCATTAACCGCCATTTTGACTGCTGCATCTCCCTTTCTCCTCTCAAGATACACTCATGGTAGTTTTTTTACAAAAAACAACCCAAATCATATAAGCCACAAGCTCCCAATTTTTTTTTTAAACACAATGGATCGCAGTAATATTTCAGCTTTCTTTTGTAGATATGCATATAGATATCGTTTGATGATATAAGCTTTCTTCTTTAACATGGGTCCTTAGATCAAGTCCACAATATTTATTGTAACTTTGCAGACCACAGATTAAATCTTTGAAACCCAAAGATCCCCCAGGTATAGCAGTGAAAAGCAGGCTTCATTGAAAAATACAACAACCAGGAACATTTAAAATGAACCATTTATTAAATCAAACTGTTATTTTAACATTTACTTAAGTTACACAGCATGTTTAAGTCAAAAGATTTCACAAGGAAAAAAAAAAATTTAAACGTCTATTATGCAGGCAAAAATAGTACCACACAATATGTACCTGGGAGGGAAGAAGGGAAGGGGAATCTCTAAACATTCAAATAAGGCCATAATTATTTAAAAACAACAATAAAACAATAATAACCCCCCCCAAAGATCCGTTTTCCTTTCAGTGTGTTCAGTGCTGCTAACTATATGTACTTTTAGTGTGCAGATGTAATCGAGGCAGTGATATCTTGATAGCTAGGTTTAATGTTTTAAAACACTATCAGAAGTGGAATAAGGCTCATTAGTACATACAGCTGCCCTTGGAATGTCAATTTCAGTTGCCTTCATTAACTTAAAATTCACAAAGTGCACAGTTAAGATATGCCAAAAAATTGAAATTGCTACTCTACCAACAGCTGCCCATGCTTAATACTTAGTGGTCTATTGGAACAAAGTATGTTCTTTCAAAAAAGATGTGTAAGAAAAGCCACTGTAAAACATTTAGTTTCAAAGATGCACTAGGAGCTTTTTGTAAACCAAAAAGTAGAAAAACATGGATTAATTATGTAAAGAAAAGAATACAAAAAACACTAGAAATGACCATCAAACTTTCAAAGAACAAGCACCACAATGGACATTAGCATTCGATTTTGCAGTGTACAGCAACGTAATAATTTTACTCTAACCAATCCACTTCATCAAACTCTGAATCATCTTCTGAATCACTGTATTCCACAGCAATGCGACGGGAAAGTATAGTAGCAACATCATTCTCAATGCGCTCGTGCTTAGCTTCTTGTTCGCGCTGCTCCTCAACTTTGCGTAGCTGGATACCTAAAGAACATCAAATTACAAACACGTTACTCTCCTCCTTTATCATTATGCCAAGTCGTTAGGTCATGATTTACAAAATGCTTTGCAAGCAAAAATGAAGGCCGAGGACACAGTCCTCAGGTAGAAGTTCTCTATCAAGTTTTCAAAGAGAGGAATGTCAGAATTGCAACAGCAGACTAGGTCATCAGTCTTCCTACTATAATATCCTGCTTCTGATTTTCCATTAAAAACACATTCTCATTTTTAGTACCACTGTAAGTGACTAAGCCATTTTACTATTTGCATTTCTAAACAATTTTTAGACTCTCTCTTCTTGGTCTCAAATGAAGTTATAGCTACATGAGTATCCCAACACGACAGGACTTCTTGTACCTCAGTTTTGATCACGTAATGATCTGTTTTGGGATAAAGTATGACTTAAAGATCAAACACAAAAGAGAAATTACACATCCTGATAGCATGAGAAAGCTAAATTCAGTAACCCAGTTAGAAACATGAGAGAGATTATATATTTTGGTGTTACACTCGAAACACCACAGACTGACACAGTCTAAATATGACCTACAACCTGTACTTAATGCTCTCTGTCGCCAACTGACAGGCAACACAAACACAGGTCCTTAGTGGAATTTAAGCTGTTGTAACTTGAGCCTTTGTTTCTTGTGCAAGACTTGGTCAAAAGCTTTTTCAGGAATCACCTATATTATACCAGCAGGCTCTCCTTTGTGAAGTTTTTTGCTGATATTGCCTACTAGTGTTCATGTACCACTGTTGTACTCAACTGTGGTTGATGCATCTTTAGAGTCAATGATGTTATCAATTCGTGATCAATTCACGCAGATACTTAAAAATATTTTGAATTTGTATTATAGCCTATCTACTATTTATAGTATTAACAGCCTATACTATAGCCTATTTACTATTTACAGATATTACAGTACCATATAGATTCTGCACTGTGCTGTAGGTGCAGGGGAAAAACACAAGAAGGTAGTACTCAATGCATTTGAGAAAGATTATTTGAAGACAGCGCACAAGCAGCAGCACTCACAGTGCAGCAGGGATTTTTCTGGCTGTAGGCACGTAGGCCAAAAGGTACAGCTTGTACACACAGTCCTGGCCATTCGCTCCCACTCTGCCAGTGGGGCACCTTGCAATGTAAAGACTGCTCCACTACTGAGTTGAGACTTGTCAAGATCAGCTCTAAGTCTTAAGAAACAATTTCTTAATGTCATTTATATGTTGTTGTAATACACGGATATATGATCAATATGCCAAAGCCAATCAATCTGTTCTGCTTTCATCTAACAATCTGTGGAAAACAATGTTTTTGACTTCTACACAATCTGTAGGTTATCAGAAATAGCTACATTTTCAGGTAAGCAGAAATGAAGAGATAATCTCCACAGATCATCTATAAACATATGTACTACTTTTTTTTTTTTTTTAAATAAATCTAACTTCCACAGACAACCAGTTTTGCCACCCAAACTAAACATCTGATAAGTGCAATTACAAATTGAAAAAAATCTGTCTACTTGGCAATGCATACACTGTATAGAAAACAGAAACAGACTTAAGATGCGCCCCTCTAACTTCTTACACATGTGAAATAGTCCATCTCTCAAAGCTAATGTGTATTTAGCAAGTAACTGAGATCATTCTTTTTGCCCCTTAATAGCCAAACATTACCTTTCCGTATCGCCTCCAGCAGAACACTTCTAGCATCACTGATTACAGGAAGAGTTGAAGGATGGCGTTTGGGCTCAGGAGCAGGAATCACTTGGGATGGTGGAGATGGAGGCATTAGGGGTGCATGAGGTGCAGGGACAATGGTTGTGGGAGGAGGATGCAGAACAGGAGGAGGGTGAGAAAGGGCTGCAACTGTGACAGGAGAGGAAGGCCGAATGCCAGGAGGAGGCAAGGGAGGAGGTGGTGGTGGTGGAGGAAGTCCCTGTACTTCAGCTTGTGGAGGAACTGGGTGAACGGGTACAGCTTCACACACTTGGGCAGCTCTAGTGACAGGAGGAGAGGGTTGTGCTAGGGGAGGAGCAATTGGAGGTGGAGCTGGATGTAGGACTCCAGGAGCTATCTGGAGAGGAGCTGGTGGAGGTGGCACAGCTGGGGCCTGCAGGGCAGCTGTGGGAGGTGGTGGTGGCGGTGGGACCGGGGGTGGAGGGGTGGAAGTCATTGCAGCTCTTAATGATGAAGTTGACAAAGCAGATGGAAGAGGTGGTGGTGGTGGAGGAGGAGGAGTGGGGCTCACAAACACTGGTGTTCTGCCTGTTGCTGGTGACTGAGGACGATTTTCTACCAAGCCAGTAGTAGAACTGAAATATTCAATAACAGGACAAAGTTGTTATTAGAGCTGGAGAGTGGAAAAAATAGTAACAGATTCATTTCTGCAACTTAAGAATATTAAAGAGCATTACGTGCTATGATGATTTCAAGTTATTCATACTTCATACACGAGGAAATCTAATTCTCAGTACGGAGTATGCATCAGTCTTCCAACAGACCTTTGCTCAAATTCAGCTATTACCTGACTTTATGCTCTTACACAAACCTGCATCTTTATGAAACGGTTCCTATACTAGTAAAATTCTCCCCATCCATCCCTAAGTAAATCCAAATTATTTTTCTGAAGTGAGGGAACTAGAGGTTAACTGCTTCGATTCACAGAACTTTAAAAGCAAACAAAACAGTAAAAGCAACAAGGACGAGTTACATTTGAAATACCTATTTAAGGTTTGATGACAGGGTGAGTGAGGCTAATATCAAAGGTCATCAATTCTATGCACAGAGAGGTATATTTATATGCTAGATATTCATTATAGTGCAATGAATAGGTGAATTGAAGAAAACAAAAGGGAACAGCAAAATTATTTTCCTGAAAGACCACTAGAGGATTTCTTTCAGCTGTTGTGGAAAATTAATCTCCTGAACAGTAAAAAGACATTATTTTCAAGAGACTAACATCCTGCTGATATAAGAACCGTGTCTCGATCAATTGTCCTCTATTCCAAGTTGTATGTACCTGACCAGAAAGTTAAGATTTTGGGTATAAAACAACAGGGGACAACCGGAGTCTCACTACAGAAAATACTCTAAGTACATATCCAGTTCTGGAAAGACATAGAGAAATAGAAAATAAAAACACTTGGAGAAATTAAAAAATAAACTCCCCAATAAATCTGCATGTCGCTTGACCACTTCGTACCTGACACAAGGAGGCACAGGTTTCACCTCTCCTGCTCCGTGCATCGGAGGCGGCGGTGGTGGCTCGTGTGGTCTGACCAACACTCGCTCCTCAGCTCTGTTCAGAAGTTCTGACATCTGACTATAGGGCAATGCAGAAAGCGAGTACGATCCATCCAAATGGTCCACGTATGCTTGAGATCTGCAGGAGAACAGTGAAAAGTGATCCGATATCAGCTTTAGTAAAAGTAAGTATTAGTGCCCTCAGCTAATGTTCTGTACTTCAGTTTGATTTCTGAATTCAAGTATCTTCCCTGCACCACTGCTGCATATTGTACTGCACAGCTTTTTAATAATTTATGTCACTTTCCATGCAATTGCTTCTAGCAGCTCAAGGGTTTAATGCTTTTGACAGGTCTATCAGACAATTTCTACAGTACATGTGTGATCTTAGTGTTTATTAGTCACATCACTTTGAGTTAAGTAAATGTAGCAATAAAATCAGAAATATATACCAGAGCGCATTATGACAGGTATTGTACTCAGTTTCTACTCCTCAGTCCCTGCATATGTGCAACCATATTCTTTTATAACATTCATGAAACACCCATCCATGTTAGAACAGTAGAATTTACAACTGAGTAATTCAGCTGAACTTGTCAGAGGATCTATATTCCAACAGAGAGAACCCACTACTTTAGACCTAATACTTTGTAGCAATACAACAGATATAAAGAAGATAATCTAAATATCCACTATCAAGTAGCAGCAGTAAAGAAAGATAATTACAGCTTAAAATGATTCACCTTCCTTGTTAATGACAACTTTAGACACACCTTAAAGACCTGATCAGTTAAGAAATTTTAATTAGCTATTCAATTAAAGATTTTAAAAAATTTCTATATTAAGTTTGGAGGAAATGTGTTTGCAGAAATTTCCAACAAGTAAAGCAGTACTCAACATCTTCTGCATACTATCACTACTGTAGTATCTAACCTACTAAATTATTGGGGGATACTCTGCTATTCAAAAGCACGGGGCTGTTCTGTATCTGAATGACACACTGTGCACGTGTAGGGCTCCCAACCACCACGGCATTACTCATAACTGCATTGCTGGTACTGAGAGAATCTAAGTTTAGGTCAGGGTCCTGGAAAAAGTGTGTCTTAATGTGGAATCTGCCAACAGAAGGATGGCAGGAAGCAGATGTTTCTGTCAACGACTTGATACAGCAGTTTACAAAGGTAAGATGCTGTAAAGTTGTTCCCAGAAAAATGCTAATCACCATAACTCGAGTTGTATCCCGCTGGCTGAAATGCACCAAGGCCATTTTTTACTTTCCAAATTCAGAGTGCTAATTTTTTTTTACAAACAGGTTTTTCCATTTTTCAGACAGAAAACACTATCTCCTAGAGTTGTTATAATTATCCACTGTCACTATTACGTTTGTTTGAAGGCCTTAAAAAGCTAAACAAAATACTGTCTTATGGTGCTTTTGGCCAGTGAAGGATAGGGGGATTAAATTAAATGTTTTTTTGGAGGACAATGAATGCTTTTTAATTAACAAGAAATCTAACAAACAACCCAAAAGCACACCACCAAAACTCGTAATATTAATTGTTGCACCTCTTTCCTATCCGCTCAGTTGCTTTTGCACAAACACCAGAAGAGTAGAAACAGCCGGTGTTTACCAAGTGAAATGCTACTTTTAGCCACCAGCACATGCACGCTGTGAAATGAGAATCCAACAGGTTAGACTCTGTAAGAGACTATAACTAAAAACATCAATCAAATCTTGGATTTGCTCAAGAGTAAAGAGAAGCTCATTGATCTCATCTGAGTTCCAAGTGGACGATTGCTCACATCACACCCACCATATAGTCTTGGCAGTGTCTGCTGAGGAAAAATCAAGAGACTGGAATAATAGGGATTTTGTAGGTCAAGACTGGAATGTAGTGACAGACCTGGGGGCAAGTTTGCAGCAGTGACACTACAACTTCTTCAAGCTGCAGGCGACAACACATCCTCAAGGACACACACTATGCTTTAAAATAACAAGATAATAACTACTCCTTTAAGGACATACTAAGGATTCCAAAACTGAGTTTTGATTGAGCTAGATCAATAATTTCCAGTGCACTCCAAGAACAGCAGTAGCATCTCATCATTTACCATTTCTCAAGCGTGTTCACTACGCAGTATGAATGCTGGTACTTAATAAAGGATAGAAAAAATAAAAAGAAACCTTGATTCGAAATGTGAAGCTGGGCCATTAGCAACTTCAATGTGCTTATGTAAGAGGTTAGCATCATCTTCTGCGAGCTCCGGACCCTGGGCTAACTTCTGCCACTCTCTCCGTCTGTCGTGAGGTGCCCTTGGCACTTTTTCTGGTTCATGAGGCCGATCCAGGTTTTTCTGCTGTTGGAGAGTTGTGCAAACAAAACTGACAACTGAGACAGTGGTTTTTAATTAGTTGCATTTAAACATCAGCCACAAAATAATGAAAAACAATCCCAAGTCAAGCGCAAGAAAAATTTACTTTCAGTCTAAATATGATACGTAAACCAAAAAGACTTCAAAGAGGCAGAAACTTCAGTCGAGTGGAAAATTAGCTGAATAATACAGCAAAAAATAACTGGATAAGTAGCTTTTTATTCTAAGTCTGAAATGAAATTATGAATCTGACACATATTTAATGTCTCTATGTATGAAATATACAGAAACAAAAAGGTAGCGTTACCTTTGCAAAAGTTTGTTTAATTTTAAGAAAATACAAAGTGCTTTATTCCTATTAATTTCTTTCTAGTTTAGAGTGAAAATATTTACTAGAATGTCATTCAAGATTTTTCACATGTAATATAGCCAGAATATTGCATAATAAAAAAGTGTTCCAGTGAAATTTTTTATTCTCACTGTATTCCTCCTTTTTAAGTCATTGCTAGAAGACTTAGAAGCTTTGGCAAACCTGGTGTTAAATACTTTTAGACAGCATGAAAGCTCTAGGCCCTGCCATATTTTTTTTTTTATTTAATTCAAGTAGTTTTAGTTGAATTAAGACGACTGTAAAGTTTGGATTGTTATTCATTCCATAGCCAAAAAAATACCATATCTGCAAGTAAACCCCTTCCAGGAAAAAATAACCAGAAGCCATACAAAGCTAACATACATACCTTCTGCTTCCTCTTTTCTTTTCTTTTGTCCTCAGTGTCCTGCAACATTTTTTCCTTCCACAGATCAAAGAAGTATGAAGGATTGGTATAAAACTTCAAACCCTCTTTTCCATCATCCCTGAAATACAATGATGCAAACAGGGCATACTATTTATTTAACAACATATGAATCCAAACATTAAGGTAAAGGAAAGGCATATTAAGGAATACCTAGTATCTCAGACCCTGAAATATTTTACTGAAGAACATTAAAAAGATGAATGTTGACCTCCTGTGCCATCATTCTTTACTATCTTTCCTTGTATTCAAGGTCCTGATTTTAGCAAAAGTAACCTTAAAACAAGCTGTAGATAAAAAAAGAGCATCATAAATCAGAGATGTCCCATTCCAACGACTTGAATCTTGGTTTTAAAATAGTGAGCAAATTTGTGTGGCTGCTCGTGTCCAACTATTGATTCAAACTGACTTTGGGTCAGCAAACAACATTCATTTCCACTGAAGACCTTTCTTCCTACATACTTAACTCTCCATTTTCTTCACTTCCTGTCCAAGAGCATGACAGTTAAATAAACATAGATAATAAAAACGGCTTTTTCTTACCAGTTGCACTGGGGTAAAATTTGAGTAAAGTGGAGTAAAGTTTTAATGCTTATAATGTCCTCAGCTGCCTGTATTCCTCCAGCAGCTTCACGGTTTTCTAGTGTGGCTCCTTATATATTCAAATGCTACTCAACATGAGCAAGGTGCCTGGATACAGCACCTCTATTACATAAAATAAGCTAGAAAATTGTTTTAATTAACTTAATTTTACTAACCTGTAAGGGGTGAGAATGTTAAGTGGAGGAGGTTGTTCACAAATGTCGTAAGTTTCTTGCAAAGGAATAGGCAGAGTTTTGCGGTCAAACAGCTGTTGATCTTGAATTGTGGAACTCCGGAAAGCTTTCCTCATTGTAATGTCCTGCAGTGACACTGAAAGGGGATGTTGCCATTTAAAAATACCACCAAAGACAGTTTATTTGGATTAATCTGGAATTGCTTAATGATGGTTAGAATATAAATATTAAGCATCACCACTAGGATCTTATGCATTTTACTGCAAATATAAATACATCTAGCACTACTGCCACAGCAAGATATTGTCAGATTATGTGAAAAACATGCTTGTAATGTTCTAGCACGTTATCTTCTATTTAGCTTCACAGGAAATTTGTGCTCACCATGATAGGTATCAGAACTCTGTCTCTCCAAATCAGTTCAACAAATTGCTTACTGTAGCCATAAATTATCATTCCGTAGTCCAGAAGTACCTAATAACATTTACCAAGTCCATTTCACAATGCTCTTGGTACTAAAAATTATTCTCTATCTTGAGGTATACATTGTGCCTTTATACTATCAGCAAGCCAAACTTTGCACTCCTTGCATGGGGGCAGCAGTTCTGCTGAAGGCCCTCTGAGATGCCAAACCAGGAAACCATTCAAGCTTATCAGAGAATCATAGAATGGTTTGGGTTGGAAAGGGACCTTAAAAGATCACATTACCTGGGGAGAAGGGCTCTGTGATCCTTCTTGATTACACACTCTAGAGACTGTCAGGTGACAAACAAGCGCGTCGGTACCTTTCAAAAGAGAGGTGCCTACCACTAGCACCCGTTGCCTTTTCTGAGTTGCACTGGTTGTTCTATGGGGAGCAGATGGGGCTGCCTGACTCAGCTCCAGCACCTCTCTCGATGTGACTGGTCTTTCCTCTCCAGCCTGCAGAGTGGTGAAGCGGTTCTGCACGGGCTTCGGGGGAAGTCTCACCCTCCTGCCGGTCCTCGCCATTACAGGCTTCTGTTCTTCTGCATTATTGGCCCCCATCCCTCCTGTCTGTGCTGGAGGGCAAATCTTCTGTTCTTTGGCTGCGGGTCCACTGCAGACTGTGCTTGGAACCAGCCGTCTTACGCATATCAGCATATCTTATGCTACTGGTATCAGTGAGTTTTAATGGGAGCTGATACCATGTTCCAACACATGAAACTAGTCTAATGTTTTTTAATCAGATTGTATAATCAACCTGAAACTTCTCTGTTTAATTCAGGTGAGACACCTTGAGTTTTTAAGCACAATAGTTGGGAAAATTCCATTATCTTTACGTAAGATTTAAAGGAAAATAACACTAGGTGAACACAATAGATTAAACAGTGATTTGAAATATACTGATTTACTGCTGTTAAAGCTCATATATCTTTTCCTATTTCCCAATCACTAAAATTTAGAAAAGGACTGCAATTGATAAAACTTGCATTTTTTATTCTGTAGACAGTGTACCTGTTCCATCTCATATTTCTCTACCTCCCCGATCTTCAGTTACTTCATCTGTGAAGTCCAGGTGTGTCTCAAGACTAACTTTGCAGCCAGTGTCAGACTTTTACTAAATAAAAGCAGCCATTTTAATTGCCTTAGGCTTTTTTAAATTTTTTTTTTAAATCACAAACAACACTAAAAATATAGTTTTAAGACCTGCTAGCAGAGGATATATTCAGCACATGCATTTTATGTATGAAGAATTATGTTTATTTTATACAAACAGGCTGATAGTAGTGCTCCTTTACTCAAGATGAGAGGGCATCACACTAGGGCCTTCAGCAAAATTTTTTTAAAAGAGCGTATCTGTTTAAGTTGAGAGCTGCATTTTACTCTGGTGCCTGTAACACAGACAAGTATATCTACATACAAACACGCACACACACAGAGCTGGATTTCTATTGTGTGATCACAAAGGGGCAGAAGGCAGGATTTTTTCCAGAGGGCTTGAACATTCCTCGAATGTTCTATCTTCTTGCTGAAAAGTATCGGCAGCATCCTTTGTGAGGCTAAAGATAGGATTTATTTGATTTTCAAGTTTGGCTTTTGAAGTTTATTACAGCTGGCAAGATTGTGTGTTCCTGGGGAAGCTTCCTCCATTTTACCCTTAGGTTCTATTTCATTACAGTGTCTTTTATTCTTTTTAATACCTTTAATTAGCTGTTCAGATGCCTTTTTAAGTGTGTGAGAGAAATATTATAATGTATGAATGTCAGATAGGAGTCTCAATTTCTGCAGGTATTTTTCCGCTCATAAATAACTGTATATATTTTGTATCTGTCATGAAGTACAGGATGTTATTTGCTGGCAGAAGTTCACAATTAAAAGAACTGGGGTTTACCTCATCTACAAACTTATTCTTAGATCCTTTTCTACTTCACCTGTTTTTCCTTTGGGTTGTTGGTTTTACGAATCTCACCAAATGTACTTGTTCAGAAGTTGCTCATCAACCCTTCAAGTCTTTAAACTGTCTGGCACTTACTGGAGACTATGCCAACAATAAAAAAAAATAGCATACTTCTCTTTTAACTGGTGTACAATCTGAAGGCAATGAAGTAAATTAATTTATTCCAATAAATACAGTTCTTTAGTTTAATATTAAAATGCTCACAGAGGATGTGACACCATATTATCAAGATGTATGTTGATGTATAAACTCTTTATTAGCAATCATTATTCTCTTGAGTGAGCAAATACAGCCGGTCTAATTAGTAATCTCCATTTTCTTTTTAAATCTCCACTTTTTGTGAGCATGTATGGGATTAACACACCTGAGGATAATCAATCAATCCCCAATAATAAGCCTAGATTACTTTCTCTCTGAAACTAAGCTACAAAACAAAGGTCTTCATAGAAAACACACACTGTGGAATTTCAAACAGCTAACAGCATTTCCTGCACTGATACCCAGTGACCAGCCTTCACTGAAAAGCATGGCATTATTCAAAACAACCGGCTATATTAGGACAACATTGCTAAGGAAATGAAAGGACATGACACACAAAATACTGAGAAAGATGACAGCCATATAACTTGCCTACAGACAGGGATGAGGTAAATCCCACATTGCAAGCCCATTGTAATCCTGGGCTGTGCACGGTTTGGCTTACAAAGCCATTTCTTTAGCTTGCCAGCTGGCTGAGAAACACAAGCCCCACGTGGCTTTGCCACCTTAGGGGGGTAATACGTGAAAACCTGGCTGGTTATCCAGCCACTTAGCTTTGGCTCATTGACAAACTGGCACAGCAAGGGGACAGGTCAAACAAATTGGACACATGAATTCAAGTGTGAGAAGAGGCAAGACACTCCTCCAAGGAGGAATTGGAAGTGCTGCAGGGTTTTGACTTGAAGCTGATAAATTTAAGCTTCCAGTTGTCTAATTCCTAACAAGCACCAGAACCTTCCTATAGCCCTAGATCCTCAACTGCATATGGATGCACCTTCCTGAAAGTCCATCTGCTATACCACTTGTGTATACTGCAATGAACAAAATATGTGGTCTTAAATAATTTCCTTAAATGCTGAGATGGTCACAATTTAAGTCAAAAATTCATTCAACAATCTGAATCTGCCAGTTTATCTTTACTGTGTCTGTTGTTCAGATGGTACAGAAAGACCTCTGATATCAGCCAGTCTAGCCTTCTCGACAGGATAATGTTTTCTACATAATTAAAAACTATCTGTCAGAAACCTAAACTACCAACATTTTGTACATGTGGTTTTGAAAGACAGATGTCAGTCCATTTTTATTCTTAACTGACAACGAAGTGGAGGGAAAAAAAGGTATTTAAATTGCACTCAAAATAAAATAACTGGGTTTCTTTTGGGCTGAACTACACATTAAGTAAAAGAACACATCATTAATATACACCCATAATAACATTTTACCTCCTATTAAGCCTTTCATTAAACTGCAATCCCAAATTTATAGTAAAAGGAGCACACCAGTGTACTGACAGAGAGTACCTACATTTACATTTCAAAAATATTAAAATATTAAATATTACATTTTATTTTACCTCCCCAGAAGAAAAAAAAACCTGTTACTGGATTTTTTTTCTCTTTTAAACTCACTTCAATGTACAATTTGGTTCTGGGCCAAAAAATACCGTTATCCTAAAGGTGGTAAATAAATAAATATTATATATTTCTTTAAAAAGCTTGGTCTCAACACTTTCTGCAGAATTTCATCCTGACCACTTTTAAGACCATCAACTCTTGAATGGCACAGCTATGACTCCTTGCAGACCTGAATCACTATGGGAAATCATATAGAACTCAATGGACTCAGCTGCCCACAATACCCTTTCTCTGTTCAAAGTCCTAGCCAGTGATTTGGAAATTGCAAGGAAGAAAGAATGACAATACAGAATGAACAACTTAGTCATGAGATTCCAACTAAAGGTAGTTAATTGGGGGCTGGGGAGGTTGAAAATTCTCTTCAGATAAAGATTTGTGTGATTCAGTTCCTCAAGATGCTGCAATCTTGAAGAGTGATTTTTATGAGGTTGTTTTTTTTTAATGGTAATCCCCTTCAACAATGCCTAGAATCACACACATATTAGGTTTCTCTGCCATCAGACTGGTCACTGCAGATTTAATAATTGCTAAGCAGATAGATGACTTCTCCAGAACAGAAACTACTCTCCTTTGGGTTTGTCCCCAATATAAGAAATTCAAATTTTCTGAAATATTGATTTTTAAAAAATCCAAAACAGCTCAAGCACTGTTTGGATAGTGAATGCGTATAGTTTAACTACTACAGGTAAACAAAGAGAAGATGTAAAAGTTAGAGCAATCCTACTAAGAGGACTCAGAAGCTGCTTTAAATGCAGCACGTAGAACCAGGGAGCCTCGAGCAGCCCATCAGGGAAGATGTAAATCACCCAGCTGCATCAAGCAGCAAATCTGCTGGTGAGTTCTTAACAAAACCACCACATTATTTAGCAAATGACATTTTGTCCAAATCGCTCCTTTTATATATAAAATACAAATTATGCAATATCATGGCTTTACCATTGAACTACTAAGCCTTGGACACACTAGTTTAAAACTGATTTACTTACTAAATAACCTATAAATTTAATTGAGGGCTAAGAAAATGGGAAGAAAAAGCACGGAGAGCAGTTGGAGCTCAGCCCATTCGAGCAGATCTTTGAGAGGGAGACGCACTCAAATCCAACTTCCATTAAGTGGAGACATGCCAGGAAAAGTGACCTGCTATGCAATTTAATTTAACAGTCCTTTTCTTTATTTGATTTTGGGGGTAAAAAATCTTATGAATGAACTGACAACAGTGTTATTTTCCATATTAACATATTACTTGTGGAGGTCATGACCCAATTTTCATCCTCTCCCTGTTCATAACTTTGATTACATTTAAATTCAAGTCACCAAATTCCTCTTCAGAGGCTAGAGATGGTAAGTGAGCTGTCCCTCAAAACAGGATTTACTACCCTTTCCTTCCAAGTCTCACAAGGGGCTGAGTATCCTAATTTGAAACTTGACTGATTATCCCATTTTCAGAAGTATACAGACCACAGTTAGCTGTCAAGCTTTTTAGGTTTCTCCCCACCAGATGCCACCTTTTTGGCCTATAGCAAACCCTCAGATCTCTCTTCAGCATTAATCCAACACAACTCCTGAAGTTCTGTCCTTTTTATGACAAGGCAGTATTTCTAGAATGCGTAGGAAAAAAACAAGCCAGAAACCTCCTGAAATACAGTTCATACTGTTATTACTGTACTGAAATATGCCAGGCTGCTCACCCATAGCACTTCTGCCATTAAGATTTTTAAGTTGCTTGTCACAGTTGTAACAGATACACTGTAGAAATCAAGAATTTGATACATTGCCTTTGAGATTAAAATTCTCTCCAGTCTGAGATTTAAATGGAATTAGGCAGTTCATGTTAAAGAACCACTAAATTAATACCAAAATATGCAACAAAACTCTTAATTTAGGAATTCTCCTTCTGCTATGATACCATTTGAGTGACACACAACTACTTTCTAATACCTCGTTACACTGTACATCCGAGCTGTACTGTGTCAGCATTGCACAAAAGAATAACATAAAAGCTAAAATGAATATTATTTTTAAAACTCTCAGATTTCTACAGATAAGAAATTCTTTACCTATAGTAGTACTTCAAGCTCAATGGCACAGAGAAATTCACAAAAAATGGTAAATTAACACAAATCTATTATTATACTTACAAAATTTGCATGTGAAGAGAGAATTAGTAACATTATTTATAAAGTAAATACTGGAAGTAAAAATGGGTGCAAAGAAACTATACTCTTAGGGCTTATTTTCTGACCTATGGGGATACCTTCTAGCGCAGGTCTACTGAAACCATCAACCTTAGTTCACCTCCACAGCAAGACTTGTTTTCCCATTTTACTTTTTAGCTAAGCTTCTTCTAACTCTCTGAACTTAACAGCATGTTGTGCAGAAAACTACAACACACATATAGGCTACCTTCCCATCCAATTAAAATAAAGTTCAGTTTAGTGAAGGAAAGCAGAGGATTTCTTTTTTTTAGTTTAATATTTCTTCTGAGGGAAAAAACCCCACATGTATGTAAAAAAGAATAAAGTATATAAAAAAAATAAATTACAATATTAAATTACTAATTCTGTGCAAACAAAAATTTGAAAAAAGTGTAATAATTCAAACCAAATTGAGTTCTTATCAATTATTCTGTGACAGAAAGATTGTGTACCAGGAGTTAGTTCCTTTAGCATACAATCCTAACCTTGGTTTCATTTAGTTTTATTCTTTCACAGAGATATTGTAGTAATTCAAAATGAGAAAACACACAGGGTATTTAAAAAAAAAAAAAAACAGAGCTTTTTATTATTTTGACTCTACTAGAAACACCTTGCAAAGTATCTGCATCTTGTTCAATGAATCTTCACTTGGGCTGTTTTTGTTCATGCCACTTAGCTTTAAATGAATCTTAATTTCTTCCTCTTGTGTAATAGCACGGGCCCAAAGGAAGACATTAAATCTTCTATTAGTGCCTGCTGGCAAAGAACTAGCAAATGAGACTCATTTTACAAGCAGAGCCCATTTTACACATGCTGTTACCCAAGCAGAAGTACTGAAATTTGCTCAGTTTTTGCAGAGGGTTAAAAAAGGCAAGAAAGGTAAATCCAAATGTTTTCCCAGTGCTTTCCTGCATTAACAACCTCCTGCTATTCTAGCCCAGATCAGGACTAAAACAAACTGATTTCTGATTAATTGCAAATTTCAAGCCCAAAACAGGATACCGAAGGAGAAACAGTTTCCAAATCCCTAATTTTTAAGGAACTATAGTATTGAATTTCGTCTCATCTCTTTTGTCCTCATCTGGTGACTCATTCTGGGCAGACGTTTGTGAATAAGGAACACAGGGTATGGCTCAAGGACCAGATATTCTTAGGTTAATAAAAATAAAAATACGGCATAAGAGACAAATCCAGGGTACCAGATTTGAATCACATTTAGCCACTCTGGACTTCATCAAGTAGACCTCTTTTCAGCCCTGTTTTCTTTAATTGCAATGTCTGTCCCTTTTTTTACCTATACAGTTTAGCAAACACTACAGTATACACAATATTGTGAGAAGTTATTGATCCGGTGCATTTGGAACTACATACTATTTAGAAATATTTCTAGCAATTCTCTAACATCAAATAGTTATGGATATTTAGTATTGCAACCTGCAACCTACAGCCAAACCTGTCAAAGGCCATTTACACAGGAAAATACAGTTCTGCATCTTGCTGTCCTGTAACAACCTTAGACGGTGTAACTCAATGAGTTAAAATGGTCCCTCCTTTTCCTGAAATGTGAATTGTAGCCATACTAGATATGCCACATGAACATACATCCCACCCCGATTTAAACCAAAAACCACGCTGTCAAGGGTAAACACAGAAATGACATTAAGACTGCAGTATTACAGCTCTTACAAGATTACAACTGCTGAAAATTTGTTACTGTACACAGAAAGAATTTTTGTCATTATCCAATAATAGTAAACATGTATTTTATTAGAAAAAGAGGTGTATGTGTATGATTTCTGCTGAGTTGTCAGGAGTCCTGGAAAATCCCATTAACGTAAGAATTCCCCTAGGCAAGTCACGATTTTGTGGAAAATCTGCTACTAGCTGTGAACAGCTGTCTTTCGAAACCTGCTCTAAAATTAATGTCACGCAAAGTACAGAATCAAAACTTCCATAGCTTAACTTTGCTATTAGTGAAATGTTGACATCGGTAACTACACATAGCCTGAAGGCCATGCTCCTGGTTTGACACTTCATTTTTCCTGAATGACACACAACTGCTGTACCCAAACATTCAGAACTGAAACAGCTTTCTATACTTTAAAATTGGATCGCACAAGCAATCTGAAGTTATTTTTCATGATAGGATGTTGCTCTACTTTCTGGGTCTTTCTAGGTCTTAGCCGTATAGTCCCTAAAACTGTTTGGGGTTAGAAGACCTTTCATAGTTTCACCTATAACAAACAGATATCCAGGAAGGCAAAAAAGCTTCATAGCATTTACATATTAGATGGTCATTGCTCCTATAGTCAATCACAAAGCCTGTGCATCATTTAAATCCCACACAACTTCTATCTCACAGGCATGAGCCATACCCTATTGACTATTGGAAGTACTTTTATTTCCTCAGTACTAACCAATATTTACAGTACTTAAAGCTATTTTGGCAGAACCCAAGGGGATATATAGCATCAATAAATGGACCTATACAACTATAACTTCATACAGAATGTAAGATGGTAACAAGTCAAATGCAAAACCCTACTTGGACAAATGGTTACATCCCATGGGAGTTAGTAGGAAGGTTAAAAAAATGAGTAAAGACTTACCTCTAAGCATTCACATAGTATTACATATTATTAATATTATTAACACTAATAAGTAAAACTACTGAAGTGACATATACTCCTGTAGCAGTTTTTATGTAAATTCATCGGTAACAGTACTGTTCAGTTACCATGAAAATGTTTAGCTCAGAAAGCTGCTCCAGACCATCAAAGAAACCTGTAGCAGAAATAAAAATGGACCTTTTCTCTCATAATGCTTTGCTCTGTGTTGTTATAAATTTAGACAGTTACTATTTCCATCTCATGTATCAATGCCATGTGGGTGACAAAATAAGTAATCTCCAATGCAGGAATTAACTTACATTCCTCTTCCTTTGGATCGAGTTGTGTAACACTGACAGATAAACGGTCTACACGTTCTTGTAAGGAGTTGACTCTAAATGAGAAACTGTGTGCTTCATTAAAAAGTTCACCAAATATATCTTCAGCATATTTACCTGAAATGGGAAAAAGAAATAAAATCAAGTGTATCACAAGACAGTCAAATTAGTTATAAATCTTTTTCAAGGCAAACTTTTTTGTTATCTTTTATAACTATTTTGTTTAAGAAAATAAACCTAAGATGCATGAGTATCACTTGTAACAACATGTACTTACTGAGCTCATTAAGAATGCTTCAGAAAAGTAAATAAAAGTTAAATATTTTTTTTCTAATTTATTTATCAGAAATAAAATTATTTAATACATTACAGGACAGATATTCAGCTAGTATAAATTGATTTAAGTATGCTGATATACAAAGAACTAGACTGTTTAGTTTCTTGGGTATGTATAAAAGGATCTTAAGTTTTTCCTGTACAAGTAATAACTAATCTTTCCAAGTGAAATTTATCTCAATGTTTCTCAAAATCAAGTACAGTTTTCAATCCTGCTGTTTAGAGGACCTGTCAAAAACAGAAGATCAGGTATTTATATCTTAGTCAGAACCAGTCTATTAAAAAATACACACTAAATTAATAATATTATACTGTAATAAAATAATCCTACTTTGGAGGATCAAAATCCTAGTAACTGACTAATTTATACTGAAATACAATAAGAATGTCCTTTGTTCACTTCAGTGGGAATCACACATTTAGCTCAAAAGTGCAGGAGATTCAGGTATCACAAGAAAAGGATCAGTAATAAGTTTATCTTCTAAGGAAGAAGTTCTCCATATAGTGCTTCTAGTGCATTCTGGACTCAACCTGCATAGTCTGCCAACGCCACTGAAAAAACCCACCACCTTGTCTAGCCAAATTTGTAGCCCCATTTCTGAAATACCACATGATAGCTTTTAACACTTTCTACCACACTGTGCATATGTAATTTCTGTTCTGTTTGTGCACTTACATTTGTTTCGGAAGTATAAATCTCAAAAATTTCTAACTACCTGGTTTGCACACAAGTTCTTACAGGTACAAAAGGAGAGGATAGTTATAAAAACTTTGCCTTCGGTGCACAATAAATCTGGAAATATACATAAAAATGAGAACACTTTTAAATAACGACATCAAAAGGACAGAAATTAAATCCCTACAGGTAGTGTGGAAACTACTTAAAGACGCCATGCAGTTAGCACAAGGCCAGCACATACCATTTATTAAGATGTAGGTAACGGCAATAGAAAAACAGCATGACTATAAACAACAGAATATAAAAGGGGATATCAGAAGAAATGTACAGATGAAGAAAATAGAAAGGATCATAAATTCTAGGATATTAAACGTAAACCCCAAAAATTAGCCTGAGGAACAACTACCAAACTAATAATATTTCTTCAAAGACATGAGAAGCAAGAAACCCGCCAGGGAGCCTGTAGAGCCAACTGGTAGTGAAGGTATAGAGGAGGACTCAGAAGACAGGATCACTGCAGACAAGCTAAAACAACACTTTCCACTGGTGCAGAATAACTGCTCTTCACAGTTAAGAAAGGTGAGTTTTCATAGTTTTCTATACTGGGACCTATGCTATTCAAAATATCCATAAATGACCTGAAAAAAAAAGAGATTTAAGTTTGCCGACAATACTAAGTCATGGAAAAGAAACACACTGAGCATTAATAAATACACAGAAGGCCCAGATGGCTGAAAAGGCTTCCACGCTGGAAAGAGTTGGAGGCTGGAAAACCAGCAGGAGTATCGTACATGGTTGTCTCACTCTTATTCTTGGAGCATCTGCTATTACCCACAGTCAGAAGCGGATTAAAGGTGCAGCCATTCTTAGAACCTTTGTCTTTAAATACCAGGCCACAGTAAAATAGAGACAGAAAATTAGTAAAGTCTACTTAGCTGGCAACTCACCTAGCACAAGACTTTCTAATATGTCTTGAAACTCTGAAAAGTTTATAGTCTTTAACTTGTATGTGAAGCAAGAGAAATTACTTACAAGTGTGATCCACTAAGAACAAGATTACTAAACTATTAATATACATTTACTACCTTTTTAATGTATTTCAGATAATACAATAAAATATGTATTCTGATATATTATTCAATTTAATTAGACAAGTCACATAATATTCAGACATGCATTTAAAATTAAGTGTAAAATTTCTTATATAGAATAAAAAAATAAATTGCAGGGCTTTAAAATCCAACAACTACCCTTTTATAGGTGCATGTTAAGGCTACAGTTTATCTACATCATTTCATCACGCTTACAATTCAGCTACCCCATTAATGAGATCCAGTTGCAAATAAGCTGTCTCAAAAATCTTTTCATTATGTTGCATACAGCCAAAAACATACTGCATGGAATAATTTGCCTGTGCTTATGAACACTAATCCTCAAATAGGAAATACATTAAAAACAACCTGTGGCGTTTGAAGTGGTATGCCAACTACTACATCTCTACCTACAGCCCTGTTGGCAGTCTCTTTATTTAGCTTGAAGTATATTTAACTAAATACTTTTTCAAGCAAAGCAAAATGTTTGGTTTTAGTGAAATGTATAACTTCTCTTCAAAAGAATACTATGTGTGAAGGTAGGTATGTATACAACATTTATAATCCAATATTTATGTTGCTGTTCTCTGGGTGTATTCCATATATCTTCAATTTTGAATGGATTACAATAAATACAAGTGACCACATTGAACAAAGTGTCATAACAACTCAAATAAATAACAAAAATCTTAGAAGTTACATTACTGATTTCATTACACTTAATTTATAGGTAATATGTTAGAAGAGTAAGGAATCAAAATTAATTCCATTATATAGAATGAATATCCCAGAGTATTATTAACACTTCAGAAAATTTACATCATTATGGGACTGCTTGACTCTTGTTTCTCTACTCTTGTTTCATGAGTACAATGAAGAGAATGACAGATGACTATGACAAAATAATAATGCCTTAGGATCTTGGTCACAGCTGGACACATACTAGCAGATTAGAAAGATCAGTGATCTTGTTTGCCTATTAAATGACAATATAGACTTCTGCAAATAAATTATTTCAACATCTGTGAAAAGCTTATTTTACTGTATTTGCAAAACTTGCTTAATTGACCAGAAATATATCAAAATGTGTCATTTTCAAAAGGCAAGTAATATTCCCTCCAGCATTACTAGCTGCTCTTCTCAGTCCATCATACCTGCATTTATTTTTATTAACAAAGTACAAGTTTTCTTCATTTAAATAGGAGCATAATTATTATTTATTTTTAATTAAGGAACATGTTACTCACTTTATTATTCTTTTCGCAACTTATTCCTCTTATCTCAAAGGTCTCTATTCACAATTAACCCATCAGTAAGAAACAGCTACAGGAATGCAGCTCCCTCTGGTGTCACTCAATGTCCTTTTTTGTGACAGCCAAATAAAATGTCTTGGTAGCAATGTGTTGTCCTTCCTCCCCAAAACAACATCTGTTTTGATAGCCTTCTGTGAACAATTATTTTCCTAACATTTAAAACAGACCTATAAGCTGAAAATAGAATATCAGCTAATAATCACTATCTAAAAACAGAATAAAAATAATACTACTCACTGCCTTCCTCATTTTTTTAATTAAAGCCACCAAAACACGTATCATCCACTCCTGTTTATTACCATAGCAGTAAGTGTACAATGACTTATAAAATCCAAAAAAACCCCCACTAATCAGTTTAACAGTTCTCTTCTTTCACCATTTGTTTCTATTAATTTGTTTTATCTTCTAATCTCCCCTTGTAATTTCTTAAACATTTGCCCAGCATTGGCTTCTGTGCACAAATGAATAATATCTAACTATCCAATACACTGATATGAAAGGATACTAAGGGAAAAGAAAAATTTTTGTCTTGTTCTGGGGGACTGGGTATGTATCAGATGAACTGAAGCCAACTACAATCACCATATAAGGTTCTGAATCTTATTTTAAGCTGATTAAACAAAGCATGGCAGAGATGTCTTATAAATCTTACATATTGTGTTGTACAGATTCCTAAAACCACGCTAACATGCTGCAGGATCAGGATATAAATTAGCAGTTCCCTCAAAACTCCAGTCCTCAAATTCACCTGAACTATGGCATTCTCTATGCTGTATCTGCCAGCAAATCTTAAGGAAAGGGCATTTAAATTAATCATTTTACAATACTGGATCAGTTATCATCAGATTTTATTACAGGCTCTCAGACAAGGGGTGGGACATATGTCCTAAAGCAGGTCTGGTGGAAGAAGTCACTTCTTTAATTTTTGCACTTCTAAAGAAAAAGAGTTCCAAACCCTTCAACTGCATGTAAATTTGAAACAGCACCCCACAGATCGCTTAGGGTATCACTAGCCTCTAGGAACCATGGTCGAAATTTTAAGTATCTATCTGGATAAATAAATTGAGCATCTAAAGTGATTAATGTCATAAAACAGCAACATTTTTGGAACTTCAAGGGGATGACTGGTAAATCTCAGGCCAATGCAAGATGCCTCATGCAGGACAATCGAAATGAGGCAATTGTTCAATGTTGCCAAAAGTCTTACTCTTAATTAATTTAGCTTTAACTAATCTATCAAACTTCCGGAGATTAGCAGGAAAAGGGGAAGAGGGGGGACAGAGTTAACATGTACACATCCAACAAACTTATTAGTGGAATTAAATTATAAAAAATATTTAATATATTAAGAATGCCATGACATTACTAAATATGATGTATAATGAGATGTTATATCCCTAAATTTAATATTATTAAATGTTATTCTAATATTAAAATAATAAATATGTTGACAACTTGGCTCCTTTAGCCAACAAAATCGAACCAGGCATTTATCAGCCAATCCAACAAAAAGTATCAAATAAAGTCTGTTAAAGGCTATCTCTAGAGCAGGCCTGATACTTCTTGTTGACATCCAAGAATAAAAACTCAGCCTTAAACCTTCCGTCACAGAGGTGTGAGATATCATTTCTTATCTCCTACTGAGGACATTAGGTATTCAGAAATCTGTAAAATAGACTGCTGAGAGCTGAACCTGATGTTGAAGGCACTAGTCCTAAAGATCATTTCACATGGAAGTCTTGCTCTTCCTGTTTTTTTTTTAATATCACCTGAAATCACAGCACTATGTAGGCAAGGAATTAATGACAGGGGGGACATTTTTCTGCTAACACATAGCTGTTTTTAATGAGAAATTACTGACCATTTGCTCATGCCCTCATTACCATTTGAGGTGGACATGAAACAGCACCACATTGCCAATACTGCTACTGCTGGGGAGACAATATCATGAAATTAGACAAAAGCCTTTGAGAGGATGGGGGTCTCTGAAAAACTGAGTAAGCCCTTAGTTTTCAAGTCCATCAGTTCCCTTGCTGCATGTGTGTAAGAACGCTTCCTCTAGTGCTCCCTGGCAATCATAGTAATAACGAAGAAAGAGAGGTGACTAATGAAGAAAATTCACAGAGAATGCTGAATATGCTTGTGAGGATAGCGAGGAGGAGGACTCCCAGGCCAGGACCTGCCACAGTGATTCTGCTGGTTCAGGAATACTGCCTGAAGCTCTAGCTGCAGTTCCGCAGAGGCCAGAGATCATGCAACATGCGGTGGCCGTGCCATGTGCTGAAGATGCTGTAGACACAGGATGAAGAGAAAAGGCTGGTCTTTAAGCTGAAGAGGGCTGGTCCTAAAGATTAGTTGCAGTCCAGACACCTTGCTGGTACACATTTCTGAAGAAACATTTCCCACTTATTGAATGTTAACACCTTAAGGCATGGCAAACTGAAGGTTTTCCTGAGGTGAGAATATCTCTCTCACAAGATGAGCACTGTTTAAAACCCTCTAGGGGATTATGTGGTAAGCAAAAAATAAGGAAGAAAAGTTAAAAGCATCTGTGAAGGGGGAAAAAAGGAAGGAGAAATAATCTGCTCAAAAACAAGGGTTTCACTCCTGAAAACTAACAAATAAAGGTTGAGGAAAAGAAATAACTAACTAGGATGACATAGTAAAATAGGAAATAGTACAAAAAAAAGACAGAAAGAGGGGAAAGGCTACTGAAGGTTCAATGTTAATTGAAAATTGCTTTCACTAGCACAAAAGGCACTCCAGCTTAGCAAACAGTTATGCAGCGTTTTCTTTATACCAAGGTAGAAGAGAAAAAGGGGAATGACATCTTGCTATGATTGAATAAAAGTTCTGAACGCCTGCAATATAAATATTCATTAAAAGAACATACTCAAAGGAGAAACGTTCTCCTCCCCAGATGGAGGTGTCAGAGACCAGGGCCAAGAACAAACCCCATCAGTTAGGTTTCTTATGTGGTACTGAGATTCTGTGTACTGAGAACAGCTGCATAAAAGGAAAAACAAGATTGGCCAATAGCTGTGAACAGAACAAGGAGGCTACATGCACACAAGAGAACTATTATCTGTCTTCTAACAATGGCACAGCTGCACAGTGCTATCAGTTATGTTTCACGTATGCTGGAATGCTATAGCCTGACATTCACCAACATATACCACCTCGGGCAGTACCGCAGTACTAATGTATCTGCAATATTGGTGGGAAGAAAAAAAAGAAAAAAAAAAAAAAGCTAAGCACTTATCCAATGCAGATACAGTCAGAAAGTAAGAAATACTGGGAAGAATGGCTAGGAAACTAAAGCAAGTGCTGCTGTTGTCTAGAGAGTTTCTGTTGCCACAGTGCTAAGAAAAGCTGTCAGAAGACAGATCCTTTTATGAAGTTAGAGAAGACTGGGAATATACAGGGGAAAAAAAGAAATTTACTTACTAGCAATTTCCTATGTCGTATCAAGACAGACTGATGTGTTTTCATGCTCCGGGGAGAAAGGCAAGGACTATCACTCAAAGCAGAAATAAATATTCGTCCTTTCATCTCTACTTCTTTTAAAGGTCAAAAAATTTCTCAAACCGAACAATTAAAATCAACACATCAAATAAACTATGAAAGGATTGAGAATTTGTATGGAGGCACGTAACAGCTACTGCTGACATGCTGATGTACAGCTCTTTTTATTTTATATTAAAACCCAGGAAAACAGAATTCCTGTCATTTAATAGATATTGTTTCTGCAGGCATGTCCTACTTGCACATAGTGTCCAAGATCATAGAAACACAGTGCAGTTCATGTTGAAAAGACCTCCAGAAGTCATCTACTCTAACACCCTGCTCAAAGCAGATGTGATTAGATCCACTTGCTTGCCTAACCCAGTCAAGTCCAAGAACGGAGATCTAGTGACACACATGACAAAACTCTACAATTAGCTTTTCTAAAAACATTTCTAAATAACATTTTTTTTGTACCATTTAAAGTACTGGAGGCTGTAATTCCATCACAGCGCTCTTTGTCCATATCATATCAGAAGAAAGGTTAGGAATGGTTGGCCTTGAGAGTTATAATATCAGAAGATTAATCCTCTGTTTGAGGGCCAGTAACAGAAATGACTAAGTGCTAATCAGGTCAAAGACCATTAATTTAAATCTGCATAACTTTACTGGCAAAAGCAGCCTTAGTTTAAAGGAAATGAAACCCTACCAGAACAGTCGGTTTCTGCTCTGAGAGTGAACCCCTATTTCGTCTACAACTTAAAGGCTGATTCTCAAGCATACACATCACCCACAGAAAACAAAAAGGGAAGGACTGCAGAGAAGCTGGTTGCCAGGGGACTGCTGCGAAACCATGCCTGCTGGCTGTGACTCACAGACAACTACTAACATTTATCTGCGTGTCAGCAGGCCTCGTCGTACACCGGTAACAGTGACACACCACGCGAAGACTGGCTATTTGCGTTTAAGCACGTGAGGGACAAGATTCCTACGCCAAAACTCCCAAATCTTTTTGAATTCGCATTGCTACTAGCACAAACAGGCGGAAAAGCTTCCAAAAAAAAAATAATATTGTGGAACAAAATACTTTCACGGGTACTCATACCTTTGTAACACAATCTCCATTTTCATAGAGCAATCCTTAATATGGCTGAGAAATAAGGATTATTTTGCAAAACTTCCTATTTAATTGTAGGAAAAAAATTGTATTTTTTGTTGAAAACATACACACTATAAATCAAAAACTTTCTTCAGTTGGTATAAAACCTGCCCATAGAAAACCTACAAACACCATGATGCTATTTGGAGGCAAAAGCAAAAGACAGAAGTAACAAGTCCTGCTCATGAATGTTTAACTTATAAAAAATTCTGAATGACCTATTCTGCGCTTGCTGTCGCAGAGTAAATGAATGCATTTTCCCTCCTCTTTTACCTTCCTTGTCATTTCCAACATTGCATGCCTTTTTGACCACAAGTGAGTCATAAATTCATGACAGAAACTCCTGTCAACTGAAACCAGCTAATTTAGGGCTCATCCCTATGTGTGCACGCTTCAAGTAGAACCACATTCCTTTTACAGAAAAGTTTACATAATTACTGTTACATTCCCTTGAAAGTATCACTCTAACTGTGCTATACATTAGGCAAGCCATGTAACAAGTGTGGGAGCATTCAATAGATGTTCTTCAGTGCTTTTTTTCCTCCCTTAATTTGAGTTCTTTCTGTTCTGGTATTGCTTTGTCCTGACCTCCTCCTGAGTTGTTGTACACACAGCGTCAGGCATAAGCTCTGTATATCAAGAAAACATAGCAAAGGCAGCTGAATCTCAATAGGTAAGTACTGAGACTGTGATGTTGAGTTAGAAGTCGGTGTTCTTTAAAATTGAAAACTCAAGTGATTTATGGGTTTCTTTAAGGTCAAACCAAAACTTCCAAATGAAAATATCAAATGTAAATTTGCTATGCCACCTATGAAAGGAAATTCCCCTAGATGGAATATATAATCATGTAAGAATTTTTAAATTAAGCAAGCTAAAATAAGTGAATACAATACTAATAAGAGTGACGTGGAAGGGGAGGCTAGTACACAAGCAGCTAAGTCTGAGAAGGGCTTTTGGCAGAATGAAGCCAGACCACAGATGGTGATCATATACTGCATCCTAATCCGATAACGCACTTGATTCACTGAAAAGAATTTAAATAGTTAAGTTTTCCTTGCTGTTGTAGCAGCTATACAAATACTGTTCATATTTATATGCTGTAAGCCTTCCTGTCTCAATTGCATAATTCAGTGTCCTCAATTAGAGTCTTCAATCTAATGGCACCCTAAGAGTTTTGAAAGGCTGCCAAACCAGAGTCACCATACAGTATATAGGGTCAAACCAATAACTGATTCAATCTAATTAACAAATTAGGCTACATCACCTATGACCCAAAGATACTGATGGAGCTGAAATGCTTTTTCACATTGTAGATGTATACACATGCACATTTTAATATTTAATGTGTTGGTAGTCTTACTAACGTCCTAGTGGTTAAAAAGCACCTTAGTATTGGAAATTCAAAACTATCATGCTGGTTTATCTGACAACTTTTTAAAGTTGCTGAAACTTAAAGAAAAAACAATCCAGAAACTGGCCTTTTCAGAAAATCTCCTTCAGAGTTCAAGAGCTTGAGAAGTATTCACTCCTCTCAAATGCACCAAGAAAAAAAAATTGTTGACAGAAGGGAGAAGGAGGAGGAAAAATCTTTAGCTGTTTGAAATACTATGGAATAATTACACTTCCAGGTTTATTTTCTTAAAAGGCTACTACGTTTTTTCCTGAATGACCACAACACGATGAAGGGTTTAAGAGAATTGCTCTCAGGTTAGCAATTACTGACTGTTAACTACCAGATAATTTTTTTTTCTGTCATGTTCCACTGGTAACAGAAATATACAGCTCAACAGTTTTAAGATGTGCTGCCGGAAAGATTCCTAGTTTTCTTTCACTTCTTTCAGAAGTCCATGCTAGTCACTAGCTATAAAAGCAGTACATTCAAGGCTCAGCCACAATTTTCTACTGAGAAGTTGAAATGGTGTTCCTATTTCAACCACAAAAACTGTGACTGTAAAATATATTAGTTCTAAATACAGGTATTAGGACAAGGTACTTACTTAGGCTACTCAGTTGTCTGATTATATTTGCCAAGGAGATATTAGTGACACATTCCAATTCATTCTTGATACCCCGAGGCAGAGCTGTGTGGCACAGGTGCCTGGGGTCTATGTTCCTTTTTACCAGCGGCATTCTGAAATGTATCAGAGGACCAGCAAACCTGTAAAGAAAGAAGACAAAATACTGTTATAAGTTTGATCATATTTTTAAATTCAGATTATGTCTAAAGTTAAATTGACTAATCCTAACAAGGTAAAAATACCTCCACAGTACTGATGGAATTCATTGCTCTGAGTACATAAATCTTTTCTTCTTTGCCCAACGAAAGACTATTTCATTCTCTCTCTTTAAACCTTTACCTGACTCAGATGCCAGTGAAGTGACAAATAATTTTTTACAGTTCATGCCTTTTTCTTTTTCCTCCTGAAAAAAAGACAGGAAAATCTTTGCGGTACAAAGACACTGAAGAATGATTTTCTTCTTGAAGGATTATTTCCTTATTCAGGCCAGGCAAAGTCCAACAACAAATGCCCTTTATTATGAGGTCAAAGTCAAACTAGTTGCCTATTCCACCTGAAAGGCAGATATGATCCATTCGTTATGCAACATCATGTTACTAGCAGGAGTCACCCTTCCAGTCTAAACATCACTTATGAATCATACCTAGTCAAGGTAAGAAAAGAGATGTTTCCCTTCCACCTGCGCTGCTACTGTCAATAAATTCAGCTAAGAATTACAAATAATAATATCTTCCAAATACAAGTGTCGTCAGTAAACTTGTAGGGCAAAGTCCTCCATGACTCAGAAATCCTATCCCTCCACACCTTTCCAAATCTAAATATGTTAATTAATCAAGAGTCTTTACTAGTTCTGCAGACAGTGTAAGAATCATCTCAGGCTGTGAATCCCAGGCTTGTAATTTTCTGCACCCACAGCACTGATTGGAAGGAGTTTCCCAGGGGGCAAGTTATGTCTCTCATCTTATTAGTGCTGTTTATTAGGATCTGTCTACTAAAACTTTTCTACATGAAAAATGGATTCCCTAAAATTCTGCACTTTTTCCATCATTCATCATGTAAAACTCCAAATGACCAATGCAAAACTCTCATTTGATAGGCAGAGAATGTACTTGTTATTGCAGTAACTCAGACTTTCTCCAAGCAAGGCAGACAAGTTTTCCACAACTTAACCTGCAGTCCTAGTCCCTCAACCAGACAGCTGGCCACAGCTCCATCTGTCCTCTGCTTAGAAGCTTTATCCCAAAGTGTTCCTATGATGCAGTTAGGGTTTCGTGTTGTTCCACAGATTTTTCCATACAGTATATATTTACCCACTGTTATGTTTAACGGGTTGAAATGGAGAGATTTTTTGGATAAGAATAGATAAGACCATGGTGCTAGAGCTGAAATTTTGCTGACCTAGAATGGCATGAGGAGAATCAAATGAGTCAAAGAGCCTGTAATAGAGTACCTTCCTCTCGCAGACTGCTTAGATTTCTCCTTGCCACTTTTCCTGGGAGTATATTCTTTCACTGAAGCCAGCACTCGTGGCTGAGGGACCCAGGCACGATCCTTAAGTCTACCTGAGAAACACCTCTGTGTTTCCAGGATCTCATTAGACGTCACTCATTGCATTTTAACACCATGTCTACTGCCCTTATTTTCTTGAGAGAATAATCAGAAATACCTTATGCTTTTGATGGATGAAAACCAATGAAAATAATTTTTCTAGTCACTGGCTTAATGGAAAGGTTATATGGTTCTTAAAATTTGCGATTCAGTTTCTCAATATCAACAGTAAAAATTATGGAAATATAATGGAGCAGGGGTAAATTATAATAACAGATTTTTATTTTTATTTTCTAGGAATATCCCAAATCCTTCTAGTCCCTAAATACCTAGCTACAAATCTTGCTACGACATACAAGCTAAATGAAATAAAAAGTGCAAATCTGAACGCTGTCTCAGAAGCAATGAGAAAGTGTTTACAGTTAAAGTGAGACTTGCTGATACAAGACACAGGTGTAGCATGAAGCAGAGGAGATCAAATGGGCCCCACCAGCACAGCTTCTGCTGTCTTGGGAGCATGCAACCCCTCTACCCCCAGTGACAAGACCCTTAACTACAGGTTCATTATCGCGGTTCCCCAACAGAAAATAAAGAAACCATTCTGTCACTGTAAAAGAAACACAGCAAATGATATGTGAGCAATGTTCTACAGAAGCAATTAAATATTAATCCCAGAGTTAAGCCCTTTCTTGATTACTGCTTTAATGATACTGTTGTATAAACAGCACAGTAGGCAAGTCTTTTAAAAAGAGATCCAAACAAGTACATAAATATTTTATCAGAAAAAGTAAAAGTCTACATATAAAATAAAATAGTCCTTATTTCTTTCTATTTATCTCATATAGATCTGGGTTATAAAGGTTAAAAAAAATATCTGTAAATAACAGGCATAAAACTAGTTGATGGCTAGTGCACTTGTTCTTTTTTCTTATATAGTCAAGATGTAAGTGATGATACTACTCTCCCTCCTTGATTTTATATCATTCATGAAAAAACTTGCACAGTTAATAGCACATATAGATTGTAAAGCTTCAGATGCTCAAGTGACAGATTCTTTAGAAAACTGTGTGCAATAGCAATTAAAAAAATAGTCTTACAAGAAATTACAGCCAACTGCCAGCTAGATTTCAAGTAACAGCATTTGAGTGTGTACTGCCTTTTACCAGTCCGATTTGTCTTTACAATAGAACAGTTAACAAAACAGCTGAAAAGACACAGTATCGACACAAACACTTTCTCCAACAGACATAAAAAAGATGCTGCACAAGCAGAGACTAAGCCTGAACTCCCTGGACCTCAAAATGTACAACTCTGAACCTGAATAAAAGTCCATTTAAGAAACTAGAAATTTTCTTGTATTAACCTCTAGCATTTTCAGAAAATCTACTTTTGGACCTTTTTTCCCACCAAAACCCACAAATATAATTTTCTAATATCTGAATAACACAGCTGTAGTTGTCCTACAAGAGAAGATAGAGGGAACAGTAAGTATGGTAAAAGGTAGAGTTTTAAAACAAGAATAAACTTGGAAAGGAAACAAACAACAGAAGATATAACTGACACCTTCCAAATTATGCATCATGTTTAAAAACTATGCAAAGCCCAAACAGAGAGTATTTACCCATTTCCCACGGAAACAAGAATAAGGAGGCAACAAAGGAAAATATCACTCAAACATGCTTAAAAAAAAAAAAAAAAAAAAGAGGAAAAGGTATTTCACGCAGTATTTAATAGAGTGTCAAACTCATTGCCACAGGACACAGTATACAACAAAAATACCTGCCAGTAATTTGTCCACCACAGACCACATATTCTTTGCAGTTTGTTGCAACTACTAGAAGATCTTGATGATTCCTCCCCAATCGTATTTAGTGATCCCAGCACGGGGAGCCCTCACTCATGAAACGGATGTGGAACAGCAAACTGAACTTTACTGTACCCAAACAATTTCTTCACTCCTATAAAAGACATCTGTCCTAATGCAGTTCTTATGAAGAAAGCTGAAAATTTTTGAAATAACTATATTTATTACGCAGCTTTAGAGCTGTGAAAGAGGAAGAAAACAAAAAAAGGCATTGTTACCATCTAGTATATTGCTTAGCATAAAAGCAAAAAAATATACACATACCCTCCACCCTCTGCTCCCAAACCATACATTACCCAAGCCACCCGGGCAGCAACAGAAAAATTCATTCCTACATCATAAAACCCTGTTACCATGTTATTCCCAAATAAGCCCTGGAAACTCTTCATAACCCCGAGCAGTCAGAAGAGAGAAGCAGCTTGGCAGAGCAGAAGAGGATCCCTAGGCAGAAGGCAAGGTTACGTGACACCTCCTCAGAGGCTCCCCGTTCTCCTGTGCACAGCCTCAGTGCTCTCCCTCCCTTCGGCCCCACCGCTCCCCAGCCCAAAACTCAGGGGAAGGGAAGGCAACCCCCAAACACAAGTCTCTCCTCTTCCCCACTGTCCCACACAAACCTTTGAGGCAATTCTTAAGAAGCGGCACTAGTTTACACTCTAACTGAAAGTGCTTTACTCTATAGTGATCTTAAAACCGAAACTCCTCTTCTCTAAGAGATGCTGATCTCTTTTGCAGAGCCACTATTGAAAACTCTTCTCTCTCACTTCCTATGCACCCTTTGAAGCACTCTGAATCCTCTCCAGAAGCCAACTCCAATCTTCTTTACAACCCCCTCTGCTACTTCAGCTGCACCACCTTATCCCCCACACGTATGTTGTGAGAATGAGCGCAGAATATAAATGTGTGTACACACTGAGTATCTCATGTTTGTATCAATCTCTCATGCTTTGATACATGATGCTTTAGGAATTAGGTGAAGCACTCCAGTCACTTTTTCAATTAATCCCTATTATTTAAAGAAGAGCAAAACAACAGCACTAATGAAAGTTAATTATTATCCTTTTTAGGAGACTAGCCTTAATGAGCTTTGACTGCACTTGTTTTCAACAGGCAAGTTGTTTAGCGTGCCGCACAGCCTTCTTCAGCTCTTCGGGGCCTTAACGGGTGATGCTCTCCTCTCTCTGCCTCCTACTCCTCAAATGCCACTGGCAGCAGCTCAGAAACCTGCTGTGGGGATGCCCGTCTCCGTGCCCACACGGCAGAACCCAGAGGAGCAGCACGGCTCCCACCGGGATGCTGTCACCCCGCCGCTGGGGCCTACAGACGGGCCCCCAGCAGCGATTGGCGATCACCTCCCCTTCCACACGCTCCTGGGGAAACATCTGAGAAGTGCACGATGGGTGGAGAAAAATTACTGGAAGCGTGTGAAAAATTTGAAATGTCAGTTGTCACAGCATAATTCAGGTTTTCTAGCAAGCACAGTAAGACAAGCAGGAATGAAAGAACAACATTGAGGTGGGGGAAATGAGCTAACTAACCTGCCCAGCAGTTTAATTGGGAATTAAACTATACTTCCGTTTTCCTTTCAGAAGGCTAATGAAATTTCACGATCAAGTGTATTTTTAATGGAAGTTTACTCCTCATTAGGCTACGTTTCATCCTTACTAAACCTGACGTTATTTTCTTAGCATTAATAAAAGACATCCATCTATAATTTTTATATAATATACCAATAACGCAGCACTAAATGTCCTTGCTCAGTTAAATTTATTTCCAACCACTTCTATAGCATATCTTTGTGCCTTAATATTACCACACTTCTTGTAATTTTCCTTTAACAATGTGCAACAGCAACGCCTTTTATGTGCCTCGTTTAATTGATCATGTTCTAGCTGCTGGCAGAACAGACCACAGTTTGAAATGCAACAATCAATTTAACACGTCCCCCATCACCCTCAGAAACAGAAATAGAATATACAATAGTTTTTATATTTGCTTACATAATCATGTACTAACTGCATCTGCACTACACAGACTTTGGGACAGAATGAAAATAGCTAATAAAAATCCTCAAATGTGTTAATGAATCTGATAAAAATCAGCATTGTATCAATTAATAGAACAAGCTAATTCTCTTGTAAAATTTTCTTTTAATTATACTAAGAGGCATCATGTTATACTAGTTGCAGAAAATCTGAAGATGAAGATCTTCTAATACACACCTCTACCATGAAAAGGCAAACGTGCAGAGACTTCACACAGCTTTTTTTCTCTGCAGCTCTCACTGCAAGATCAAGGTCCAGGTAAAAGCTTGAGAAAGAACAGACACTAACAGTATGGTGTCCTTCAAGAAACTAGGCCACTACCACCTACTGCTGAGTCAACATAACGATTTTAAAAGTCTAAAGGCAATTAACATACTTAGAGGATACATCTTGGAACTGACAAGTTGACAACTGACATCTTAAATTGACAATTCAATAGAAATGTGTTAAAATTACTGTTTTGCAATCCTTTCTGTTATGAACCATGTCACAGAACTAAGATCTTATCTTCGGAACACTCCCCTCAAATCTCAGTCTTCTGAAACCACCTCTCACAAACTTTTATAACTGCAAGTGACTAGGAAAAGATGACCCTACTGTAACTAAAAAGCAGTGTCATAGAAAATAAATGCAAAGTATATTACTAGAAAGTGATGTTGACATCAGTGCTGTTTAAGAATGAGTGTGAAATGAATAGTTTACAGCTTATGACCTCCCGTATTAGCTTGACTAAAAGTGTAACAACTTTTTTGAACAGACAATTTAAGGAGCAATGCCTATATAGCATACATAAAGGAAGTTGATACATTTATTTTTTTATTAAACCACAGAGTCATTAATAAAATATTTCTTTTTTTATTTTTAGTCACAAATATAAAAAAATACTGTTCCTGAAGTAATACCACTAAGTGTCTCTAAAACATTCTCTGAATGTTCTGTTGCTGAAGATCAGATTGTGCAGGGATGAATTAATATGTCAATGGGCCACTGAAGTCTCTATCTCAGTAACACTGTACAGTAAAGCATTTGATTAGCAAGATAATAGTGAAGAGATTGTAAAAAAACAATCTAACTCCTATAATTATAAGATGTACTTAAAAATGCATCTCAGTACATATGTCAGATAAGCAGAAAACAGGCAAACAGGCAACACAGTCACAAAAACGGGTAGGACTTGAGTTCTACTCAGTCTCTAAGGTATAATTACAGACAGTGCTAAAAATTACTTTTTGGCTACTACCATTCAGCCAATTTTCTCCCAGATGTGTATCGTATGACTATAATCTCTCCCCTATGCATGTATGCACACCTGCACACAGACAGGCACGCTCGTCTTTAAAGCGCATGGAAAAAACATTTGAAAATGATGGGTTTGATTATAGACACAAACCACAGCTACATCTACTTCCCTGCCAAATTTTTTTAGTTTCACCTTTATTTAGCTGAACAAACAAAAAAGAAGCAATTTTTTTTTTTTTACACTGGGAAAAAAAATAAATGTATTTTCAGCCCTATATTGCCTGTGATGTAAAAATGAAGGCAATTTTGGCAAGTTGGGGTTGGGAAAAAAATGGAGCGATTAATTCTTTGTATGCTGGCTTTTAAGAGCTTTTTCTGTGATAAATTAGCTTTTCAAAAAAATCTTCAATAGTTACTGTCACTGAGATGATTCTGGTAATGGCAGTAGCAGCAGAATTCTCCATATGGATAATGCTCCAAAATATGACCCCCTAGTATCAATGTAGTAAGTACAACTTCATTAATAGAAACAGCAACAATATTCAGAAAGCTGACATACCAATTCATAACTACAGGCGTTACCTCAAGTTTTAGAGGAGGCAACAGCCTATTTTCAGCAAGTGAGACACTGCAATGTGGGTTGAGCAAAGGAGCTATGTGTAACAAAATACCGCATCACAGCATGCGGCAAACACTTTCTATTGAGTACCTACTGATTAGTCAAAGTTAAGCATCAATTCTTTTAACCACATTGCTTCCTTCATTTTTCCCCACTACCAACAGGTTCTATCTTAGTATGGTACCTTTTAAATGTAAGTTGTTTATATCAAATTTAACAAACACACACACACACAAAAAAGAAATCCAGCCACCATAAGTGCAGCTTTGATGTGTTTTGCTAATAACTGTAAAAACATTTCTGTTCGTCTTCATAAATAAACTATTTAAATCAAATTGCTCTTGGGGAAAAAAAAATAATTAAAAAATCAGGTTCAACACTACCTATCCTGAACAGTAGGAGTGCTGGGGGCAACAAGGCACTACGCCAGTTGTATTTCTGGCTCATAGACAAAATGCAGTGAAGAAAGTTAGATGTAGACATGTTTAGCATGTCTACTGCAAGAAACATTTAGATATACAAACTTCCTTCACCTGAAGTATTTAAAGCAAAAATGGAAACTAAAAAGAGATAGTAAACTTTTCTTAGTGTAACAGCTTACTTCCAAAATATATATAACAAAGTACATGGAACACATGAAGAATAAAATTTCTGATTCAAAAAAATCCCCAAGTATAATTAAAAAACAAAACAACTGTAAAGATTTCCAGATGTTAGGTTAGAATTAATTGGTATTTGGGGTTTTTTTTTCTTTCAATTTTACTTCTCAGTATCTTTAAACTAAAACTTTTGTTACACATATGATGATCCATCCCTTCATGAACTGTTTTAAATTTACAAAAATACAAAGAAGTATTTTAAGTTTACAAAACAGTAAACAATCAGAAACTGAACAAAATATAATTGCATTCTTCAAATCCAAATACAAATCTTAAAGGCACAAAATACTAATCACCAATTCTTCTCCTCCCAATATTGAAACTACAGTATTAAACTAGAGTGAAGACTTACAAAACCAATTTTGTGAAGAGTGCACAGAAAAGATGAGAATCACTGTCCCCGAACAGACACAAGCTCTAATGATACCTTACTACAAAAAAAAAAAAAATTAATGAAATTCATCATATGTATCCATATATTAATGGAGAAGTATTTAAGTCATGCGGAACCACATTGCTCTTTATTGTTACGATATTAATGAAGAAAAAAAAAACAAACCAGCAACTCCTTGCCCTTGTATTTCTATTAAGCTTTCTGAATAAGTTAATTTTATATACATG